CCCCGACGTGCAAGTCTACGAAAAGCTTCCTGCCGATATTTCGTACGAGAGCATGCTTAAAAAGAGCAAATTTTGCTTGTGCCCGAGTGGATATGAGGTGGCAAGCCCACGGGTCGTGGAGGCCATTTACGCGGAGTGCGTGCCCGTGTTGATATCCGATAGCTATGTCCCGCCGTTTAGCGATGTTTTGAATTGGAGAATGTTCTCGGTTACCGTGAGGGTCAAGGATATACCGAAGCTTAAGGGAATATTGATGGGGATTTCTGAGGCTAAGTATTTGAAGATGCAGAGGAGGGTGAAAGAGGTGCAGAGGCATTTTGTGGTGAATGGGCCTACAAAAAGGTTTGATCTTTTCCATATGATTGTGCACTCTGTTTGGCTTAGGAGGTTGAATTTGAGGTTTCATGGCTTGTGATTTGTGAAGTTTTAGAAATCAAAATTCCATTTTATTATTATTATTGAACTTTTTTTTTTTTGGTGTTTGGACTGAGGGTTTAAAGTTGGATCATAATAATTTATAGTTTGCTTGTGTTGTGATAACATTTTGTATTTGTATGCATGATTGTATATCGATAACTCCGGAGATTTAGTCGTGAATCAAGTTCTTGATCGCTCGATAAGTTTTGGATGATGTGTCACGTCACAAATGTAGCTTTTTCTCGACTATCTTTGACCACTTGCCATCTCATATATGTCCAGCAGTGTCGAAGGTACGATTGAAATCCTTATCGGGGTGGTCCACACATGGAACAATCTGCAGACAACAAAATATATAACAACATTAGTTAGTCTCATCATATCTGCATTCTTGATTTAAACTAAACTCTCATTAAGGGACTAACGAACCAAGCTATCTATGGAGCTTTCAAGTTCTATTGTTGCCATCTAAGCAAGTGTTGTTGGACACATAAGCAACTAAAGATCGAATATACATTTGCATGCTTCGTTTTCGAAAAACTGAAGCTTGTGATACGCTTTGCCAAGGTTAACAAATTTGTGATCAGTCAAATTAAAGCACACAAATGAAGAAGAAAAGCGTTGGCATAAATTGGTTGTATACATTGACTTAAAATAAATTTCAATTGTATATACACAATTCGCAGTAAATGAAGATATTAACCAATGATCATATCGACTAACAAAATAACTACAATTTTTATTAGTAATTATATTCATAGAAATACTTCATTTGCATTTTTATTTTTTATTTTAACCATTTTATTACATATTTCCTATACTTTGTGAATTTTTAACATAACATCCAAAATAAAATTATACATAAATAAGCCATAAACATTCAAAATAAATAATTCATAAAAATTAAAAAAAAAAAATTGTATTTGCAATTAAAAGAATCTTCCTAATATGCAAGTAAAATAAAATTTGGAGGTCAAAGTAATTTTCTTGTTTTTCTTAAAAAACATATTAAGATAGTACTCCCTCCTATTTTTATTATTTGTCAATTTGGCTTAATGGATTAGTAATTAAATAAATGTCGTTTTGGCTATTTTGTTCATAATTTTACATTTTTAACACTCCATCAATGCATAGTGTCTCTTCATATCTCATCTCCATAATTTCTCATAACATCCATTAAATAGGGTTAATATTGCCAAGAAAAAAAATTCTTAATTAGCCTGTTGCTTCTCAAAACGACAAATCATAAAAATAGGAGGGAGTAGTAATTAAAAGCTCCCAACTTGACAGTAATGCTAATGAGCCAATTGTTGACTCCCTAATAGAGCCAACATTGGCTCTTTAGCATTATTCACCAACTTGGTTTTGTGGACATTGGACAGTGATTGAATGAAGAAAGGGAGGGACTTTCTCAAAACCCTCCATAGAACCCTCGTCACTCTCCAACAGAAATCCTCCATTGCCAAGGTACCATCTCTATCTGTTCTCTCTCTGTATCTGCTCATGTAGGTAGCAAGTGCCCATTAATGTTTCTTTGTTTTATGTACGCACTTATAGAAATAAAAAAATGTAAGTTTGTATTGCCTTGTTGATTGCATTTGCAGATGGATCCATCTGATAGATACTGTTACAACCCCAAATTGCTTTGGAACCCTCAAGTGGAGGAATACTTTGTTAAAGCCTACGGAGCCGATCATTTTGCTCGGATTTCCAGTGCCCTGACGTCTGATTTTCAGCTCAATCAGTTTTTTTCCTTGCTCGTTTATCTGTTTTTTTTTATTGGCAATGTTTTGTTTATTTCGTTACTTGGTTTATTATTAGGCGACCCTCTTGCTACTCTTGTGTACGGGTGAATACCCTCAGAACAACGAGCGATGCCATAATTGAGAAGCTATCCTCTGTGCTGGAGGAAAGAGGGTGGCGCTGTGATTTTTCGAGGGGTACTTATAGTTCAGAGGATATTGTGAAGGTTCCGGAGAAAGCTTCTGTTCCCGAAGATCCTGATGGAAAAAAATGTCACATTTCGAAGTGTGAGATACCAGGCTTGGACTATGTTGTTTTTGTAAGAGGATCTGGTCCCCACCATATTGATTACGGATACAAGGAAGACAAGCCTCCCAAGGAGGTGATTGTGAGCAGGAAATGTGCTGAAGCTGTTCTTCGTGGTGCTCATGTAAGAATTTTGCGTGCAATGTAGCTGTTATTGGGAACGGATGATTTTGTTTTACTGTAGAAAAACACTTGAGTGTGATGAAATGGGGATTTACCTATTGGTCCTATTTTTGAAAGTTTTTTCACAGGCACACACACTCCATGCTCTGTTTTTTCTTAGTTCCTTTGACAGTTTGACTCGTCATCATTCTGTAGTTATGTAGAGATGCTTTCTTCTGCTGCTGTAGTTTTTCGTAACAAAAATGACACTCATGAAATGTTCTGTAATATTGTAAACTATATACTTGATGCACGATAATACTCTTAGTTCCGTTGAATCATTGTTGCCAGTTGGCGTGGTTCACTTTGCCAAACTTTCTCCTGTGGAGGCATTCTTAAGGAGAAACATGTTTACATGGAATGTAATTTTGTGATGCTACCCGTGTAGGTGTATGTGCCTGGTGTTTTAGCCTGTAGTGCTCACGTGGAGAAAGGGGAATCAGTTGCAGTTTCAGTGGCAGTGGAGCAACCTTGCGGTGACGGAAGGTGGGGAGTCGGTTTTACACGTGGGACAGTGCTACAGGGATCACAAATAGGCAAGAGTTAATTTCCTGTGGGCCCGATCCAACAGAAAGAGAGAGACGCTATCTTTTTTATTGAGTTATCTTTGGCTTTGTTAAAGAACATTTATCTACTGTCATTTGATAAATTTTCAAAACCACGGGCTCCAAAAGTGGTGCTGTTTTCGAAAGTAATAACTGCAATATAAGTTATGCCATATCTTGTTTTTTCTGTATTGTTCAACTTTTTTTTTGCTGTATTGTTTAAATGAAAACTTTCCTTGGAACTTTAAGAATGAATGAGTTTGTATCTTTTTTCAGATCCTCAGTATTTCGAACGCAATGGGCTCTACATCGGTCGAGGAAATACTATGATGTCGAGATCTGGGATGTTTCGGGCATCCGAAGGGGTTGCACTAGACATGTATAACAGAGTATTTAACCTTCCTTCGTTTTATGGTATAGTTTTGTTCTCTTTGCAAATTTCCTAAAATGTCTCGTCAGGATGCATGCAGGTCTATTCGAGAATACATGTTTGTTTATACATTCAAGTGCATGCAGATCTTTTATCTCGTTCTGTAGCTTCCGTTCATTTTTCCAGAATCTCAAATATAGCAACATGATAATTATAGATAAAATCATAAAATCCAATTCAAAACGCAGAGGGAGGATTTCAAAGAATAGGCAGATAGGGATCTTAGAAAGAATGTTAACACATCACTTTTAGCATGATTAGTATCTTGGCTTCTTTATGTGAAGCCAGTCACAGAAAGTGGTACCATCAACTGTAGCACCTCTAACTTATCCCACAAACCAGAAACATGAAATGTTACGGGACCTGAAATGGCAGAGATGAAAAGGTACTTGTCCTCCCAAATGCTATAAAGTTAATCTTGGGATTCTAGACTATTGGATAACTATTAAAGTTGTAAGGTTGGAAGAGGGAAATCTGAATCAGACAAGACATTTTTTCATTTGGAGTGAAACTGAATGAGTAGTTTCCATTTTTGAATGACCTTATCTTTCTCAAATAAGAATTTATCATGCTACCCCATCTAGGCATATTTTCTACAGCATGCGAGTACAAATGATTTGAAATATCTCTTTTGCGCTCCTGCAATGTTATAAGCCTCATATTTATTTTATTCTGCTCAATGGTCCTGAAGTTCGAATTTCAATTATTTTATGTGTGAAAATTGTAACTGTAAATTGTGACCATGAATACCTGCATTTGTATTGCAGATTTACTTGAGGGGGAAATATTTCTTCAAAACCTACCCAGCATCATAACTGCGCATGCTCTAGGTATGTGACTGACTAACATGACATGGTGGCGTATGTTTATTTTCTGCAATTGTTTATGATTTCTTCTCGTATGTTTATTTTCTGGAATTGTTTATTATTTCTTGTTCTTACTCTGCGTTTTTACCACTGTTTCATAGGTCTGTTTCTGTAAATGTGTTTGTGTCACTTACGGTCAATCGTGCTCATTACTTGTACAATAAATTAAATACCGTGCATCTGGTTTGCATGCATGTCAGCTCACATCAAGAAAGGGTCTTATTAGGTCATGATGAAGTAGATAAAAGTTAACTTATCCACTCGTTGGTTAAAAATCACAATCCGTTGATGCTTGTTAGCTGTTACTACATCAAACTAATTAGTCCATAAACTTTCTCCTCCCTATGATTTCTTAACTAAGTTTCCAAAATTCATATGCCACCTGCTGCTTGTGTTCCTCATTTATTTGATAAGCTGCCCCAATCTTATCTTCATTTTAGATCCTCAAGAGGGGGAGAGGTTATTCGATATGTGTGCAGCTCCTGGGGGAAAAACCACTGCTATTGCTATTCTCATGAAGGACAAAGGAGATATTGTTGCAGCTGACCGGTCTCATAATAAGGTGCACCTTCTTATCTTCCCAGGTGATTGCGAATATGTAACTGGTTCTTGTTTAATCTTCACCATATTTGGTCTAATTCATCCAATTGGTATTGTTTCCTGCCTTAAGGTAGATATGAATCCGAATCGTATCCACTTCTCGTTTTAGGTATATACATTCTAAACAAGAAAACTTGACTACAAGATATATAGAATTTGGGATTATATTAAAGGAAAATGCTACATGTACATAATAAATGTACATAAAGATGTACATAACACTCACATGGAGTGTGGTCTACTTGATTTTTTAATTTTGGTGGGACCCATTCAATGTGAGTGTTATGTACACTTCTAAGTACACAATTATGTACATATAGCATTACTCTATATTAAATGACTTCACATTCTAACCTACGAATTTCACCAAAGTTACTATTATACTATTTTACCACAAAATGGTGCCAAAATCATATTAGTACTTGGACAATGTCTCTGTTCCAGGAGCTAGAAATTCTTTGAGATGGTAATAGCTTGTGGATGCAATTGGCTTGTGATGTTAACCGAGCCTCCACATTGTGATGTTTTTCTAATTGTTTCCAGAATCAGATTTGAAGAACTTGGAATCGCTGCTATTAAATGCAGCATGCTTACTATTTCATTTTCCAATATGTGTTAATGTCTTTCGTCTCTGATGTTTGTATATATCAAAGTCTGGGATTAATTTTGTCATTCATCGAGACATGTCACTTTCAGGTGCTTGACATCCAAAATCGGGCAGCTGAGATGGGCTTGAAGTGTATAACCACTTACAAGCTTGATTCACTGAAATCAGTTGAAAAGATAATTGATCCTGATAATCAAGCTTCTCAACAATGTGGTAAGAATGGGAGCATGAAAATGGCAGATTTGTCGAGTTCAAGCATTGAGAAAAAATCACGCATTAATCGAGGTTGTATCATTTGTGTATGCGTATTGAAAAAAAAAAAAAATGTTGTGAGGCGAGAATAGTACTTGCATTCTTATGATACTCTGCTTGTTTGGTGTAGTTATAACCAAATCGTTGAAGCTTCTAAAGCTATACGACATCATATACTTTAGTGGTTGTAGTTTAGGGTGTATCGTTATTCATTAGCATCCGATCCACTTGGCTTCTTCCGCCCTCTACGATGACTATTTCATTTTTTGATTAGGGTTTATCGTTATTCGTTAGCATCCGAACCTCTAAGTTAGTCAACCATGATTCCTATTATCATTGCAGTACAATATGATTATGAAACAAGCCATTTCTCAGGTACTAGAGATCGTTATATAGATTTTCTCACAACAACGTTGTGTCTCACGTCCTGCCCATTTTTTATCTCCTCCATGCTAGATAAAGTAGCAAGCGTCGAGCAATTAAGAATTGAAAGTTGCACCAGTAAAGCTGAGCTCCGGAATAACATTAGGAAAATGAGAAATGGGCCTGGACGAAATAACTCTTTGGGTGGACGAGTTGAAAAGTGTAAAGGGTTTTCACCTAACAGCTTTGATCGGGTTCTCCTTGATGCTCCTTGTTCTGCTCTTGGTCTGAGACCTCGATTGTTTGCTGGAGAGGTGAGTCATATTCTTAAATCTCCCCAGCCCCCAAAAATTTTCCGTACCTTTTCCTTTTTAATTTCTATTTTCAAACTGTATTATTTGTAGGACACTGTGGAATCATTACGAACACATGCAAAGTATCAGAAGCGTATGTTTGACCAGGCTGTGCAGCTCGTTCGCCCTGGTGGTGTTATTGTGTATTCAACGTAAGGATTCTCATTATGTTGTGAACACGTTCACTAGGAAATTACTCGTCTTCTTTTTCTCAATTCTCTTTTAAGCACCATTCGTATAACAAATTCCATGTCCTTGACTTCCTCGTCAACTTTTAAGCAGTTTCTTGCTTATTGTCCGTATGGTGTTTCCATCTCCTCCTGAGTCATTTTTGTTTTTCCTCCCTAGGTTTAATTTAGATATACTAAATTCTATTTGTGAGGTCAAACTCTAACCAAAATTTGTCTTTGGTTTTCGTTTGCTCAATTAAGCCAAAGCCTATGTATCTTTTTTTTTTTGGGCCCCATTTTATATATTGATTTTTCACGCATATTTTAGTAGAATATCACTATATGGTGTTTGAAACTGCAGATGTACAATTAATCCAGGTGAGAATGAAGCATTAGTCAGATATGCACTGGACACATACAAGTTTCTCTCGTTGGCACCACAGGTTAGCTTGAATTTTGAAATGTCCACTGAAATGATTAAATCTATATTCTTATCTGATCAGTTTTCCTCCAATGGAATCTCTCCATGTAACTCAAAATTTGATTTCCAGTTTAATTGTTATTTTTTTTTATTTTTTTGTTAAAATTCCTGAAAAAGGTCTGACAAATGACAACATCTTGATGTGCTTATTTGACATTTGTTTGTTTTATCAAAGACCCTGAATATGCTTATAATTGAAATCGATATTGATCTATGTATCTATTTGCTAATTCATTCGTAGCACCCGAAAGTTGGGGGACCCGGTCTTGTTGGTGGCTGTCAGTTTGCAGATGGATATCAGGAGTACGTTCTTCTATCTGGCATTCATCATCAAGTTTTACCGAATCAAGATGCATTGATTTGCATTTGATGGAAAATATCATTAAGAAATTCAACGTCATCATTTTCAAAGCAGATAACTGATTTGTGTATTCCCATTTTTTCAGGGAATGGTTGCGGCCAGGGGAAGAAGATCTCGTACAGAGATTTGATCCTTCTTCAGAACTTGATACCATTGGCTTTTTCATTGCCAAGTTTAATGTTGGTCCCAAAGGTACCTGACATTAATTATGTTTTCGGTATTGTATTCTCCATTCTTTCCACCTTTTCTTTACCTGGAGACCTAGAAAAACTATTGTGTCAAAAACTAAATGTTGTAGTTAAAAACTCATGGTTATTCAGATTGCATCATTTCTTGAATGCTTCAGCTCCAGTTTCCCTTTTTACGTTTAATTGACATAAACATGCTACGAGGCCCTGAATAATATCGCATTCAGCTTTTGCATGTAATTCAAAATCCCATAACTCCAATATATATAGCATAAGAAATGCTGCCCTTTAGGTTTGCTATAGTTGATCAACATTCTGATTTGCAAAATCTCCTTAAGGCATTAAACACAAGCTTTCCTTTAATTTGCTCTGTCTTGTTTTTCTTTACTAAAGCTAATGTGCCTTCTTTATAGTCAACACTACTCATAATTCTCCTGCCACAACCCAATGTACCCAATCTCATCATACAAATTCGCATTGTGCGAAGAAAACGAATAATCCCCTATCTCAAAAAAATCATTAATGCCTTCCACACACGATTCACCGAACCAATCTCCTACTATATCGTTGCACTGTTCCATTGTTTCTCGTCCCACCATACTCGGCCAATCGATTTTTTCGAGCTCCTTAATCTCGTCCTGCCACCAGTAACTCTCGCCTGGTAAGCCCTTATCGCGACCCGTTTTGCTTATATCTGCATCTTGCATGAGGGTTTCACTTCCTATTTCCTCCGTGGAGTCGTAAAGCAGCTCGTGTATTGCATTTGTGTCGAATTCGGCCATTTCTAGCCATTCAAATTCGTCCTTGGTGATAGCAACAGGAGATTGAGGTAGTGAAGTTGTTTCTAATGCCATTTTTGTGAGGAAAAAAAAAGAGAGAGAGAGATAAGAAACAAGAATTTGGAGCTTTGGATTGGTGGTGTATTTTCTTTATTCTTGTGCTTGTGTGTGATGATAAAGTTGATGTGCTAAAAGGGTTGCTTTATATAGGCAAGTTATCTATCTGCTGTGTAAGTTTACATGGGCATGGGGTCATATTGATAGTGTTGTATATCTAACAAAGGCAAATTGCACTTTTCTCGTGTTGGCAAAATATTGTGCTTTAATGAGACCGATTGTGACTTTTACCTATTATTATGCAACTTTATGTTTTCGTAATAGCACCCACTATGCTTTGGGTCTCTTTTTGTATATGTGGCAAATAAATAAACTTAAGTCCATAATGACATGGACAAACCCAAGCTAAAAAATCTAAAATCTATCCAATGCAAAACAAAAAAGTATTAGGCCTAGAATACTAAACAACCAATAAAAATATAATAATAATAAATACATACAAAAAAAATATGTTTTGTCTATTAAAAAGAAAAAGAAAAAGAAAATTATGAATAATTAATGACTAGGTGGTTTGTACTTGGGTTTCAATAGACCCAAGTGTGGACTTAGTCTCTTTTTTTCTAATGTCACATAAATTAAACTAGGCCCACTTTTAATTGCATTGTGAAATATTTTTTTATAGAATAGGTCTATTTTCTACATGGCATGTGATATTTTTCTAAGAGACCCAAAGCATCGTGGGTGCTCTAAACAAATCGTATATCTGGCTTAGGGCTTTATCAGTTTATCTTCTTCTTCTATTTTTTTTTTTTTTTTTTTTTT